CCTGAGCCAGCGCCTGGGCAACTTGGTGAGACCTCATCTCTACAATAAATAAAAAATCAACCGGGTGTGGTAGCATGCGCCTGTAGTTCCAGCTACTTGGAAGACTGAGGCGGAAGGATCGCCGGAGCCCAGCAAGTCGAGGTTGCGGTGGCCAGGAGCGGTCACTGCACTCCAGTCTGAGTGACAGAGTGAGACTCCAACTCAAAATAAATAAATAAATAAAAGGGGGCCGGGCATGGTGACTCATCCCTATAATTCCAGCACTTTGGAGACTGAGGTGAGAAGATTGCCTGAGCCCACGGGTTCAAGGCCAGCCTGGGCAACTTGGCAAGACCTCATTTCTACAATAAATTAAAAAATTAGCCGAGTATGGTGACACATGCCTGTAGTTCCAGCTACTTGGAAGACTGAGGCAAAAGGATTGCCTGAGTCCAGTAGGTCGAGGCTGCAGTGGCCATGAGCCTGCCATGGCACTCCAGCCTGGGCAACAGAGTGAGACCCTGACTCAAAAAAAAGAAAGAAAGAAAGAAAAGAAAGGTTAAGGTGGAAGGATTGCTTGAGTCCAGGAGTTCAAGATTGGTCTGGGCAACATAGCAAGATCTTGTTTCTACAAAAAAATAGAAAAATTAACCAGTCACGATGGCACTCACCAATAGCCCCAGCTACTTGGGAGGCTGAGGCAGGAGGATTGCCTGAGACTGGGAGGTCGAGGCTGTGGTGAGCCATGATTGTGCCACTGCACTCCAGCCTGGGCAATAGGCTCAAAAAAAAAAAAAAGAAAAAGAAAAAACAACCCTCAATATACGGGTTTTAAAAAAATAAAAAAAGACAACATAAATTTTTGTAAGAGTCCAGGATTGGCCGGGGTCGGTGGGTCAGCCTGTAATCCTGCACTTTAGGAGGCCGAGGCGAGTTAATTCCCTGAGCCCACAGGTTCAAGACCCACCTGGGTAAGTTGGCAAGACCTCGTCTCTACAATAAATCAGAAACTAGCTGGGCGAGGTAGCTCGTGCCTGCAGTTCTGGTTACTTGAAGGATCACCGGGGCCCAGCAGGTCGAGGCTGCGGTGGCTGGGAGCGTGCCACTGCATTCCAGTCTAGGTGACGGAGTGAGACTCCAACTCAAAAAAAAAAAGAAAAGAGTCCAGGATTTTACTGGGGGCCAGTCATGGTCTCCATAGCACATCCCCATGTTCCAGACTCCCAAAAGGAAAGCAGAAACCACATCGCTTTTCTTCTACAAAGAATTACTCCTAGCATTTCTGGGAATGGCAGGGACTTCCTGAAACCCATGTTCCTAGATGTCAACCAAGCCCCAACTTGCAAGCAGGTTCTTTCTACGAATAGCAACCTCAGGCCTACTAGGTGAAGTCTTTTTTTTTTTTGAGGGGGGAGAGTTTAAGAAAGAGGGTCAGCCGGGCTCAGTGGCTCAACCTGTAATCCCACGACTTTGGGAGGCTGAGGTGAGTGGATTGCCTGAGCCCGCGGGTTCGAGATCCCGCCTGGGCAGGCGAGACCTCATCTCTACAATAAATCAAAAAAATTAGCCGGGTGTGGTAGCACGCCCCTGTAGTTCTAGCTTCTTGAAAGGCTGAGGCGGAAGGATCGCCGGAGCCCAGCAGGTCGAGGCTGCGGTGGC